GAGAGGAGAGGAAGCTAGGTGCCGGTGGCTCATGCCTGTAATACTAACTACAGAGGAGGCTGAGATCTGAGGATCATGGTTCAAAGCTAGCCCAGGCAGGAAAGTCCGTGAAACTCTTATCTCCAATAAGCCACCAGAAAACCGGAAGTGGCACTGGGGCTCAAGTGGTAGAACCCTGGCCCTGAGCTGAAGAGCACAGGGACAGCACCCAAGCCCAGAGTTCACGACGGCCAAAAAAAAAAAAAGATGATGCTAAACAAAATGAACCCAAGATAGGGACACAAGAGGTTTTATCTTTCTTGATGTTTTTAATGTGTTTATAATGTACTATGTGATTTTTTTTGTTTCTTCCCCATGGTATAACACCTGTTTTCACTGCATTTGATTCCGGTGCCTTGCATCTTGTATATACATTTTTCTAATTTGGGGAGGGGAAGGGAAACAACAAAATGCTGATATAAGGATACAGTTTGACCCACTGTAACAATGAGATGTACAAGGCACTATGCTGAAAACTAATTTTATAACTTGGCTGGGGGAAGGAGGAATGTGTTGGGGGAATGTTGGGTGGGGAAGGGAAGGGATGGTAGGGGAAAAACAAAGGAGGGGGTAACAATGCCCGATTGGAAATGGACTCATTACCTTGCTCATGTAACTGAAACCCCTCTGCACACTATCTTTACAATAAAAAATATATAATTTTTTAAAAAAAGAAATGCATGGCTCCTGATTTCAAAATCTCAGTTTAAAAAAATGTCTCAAAATTTTCAAATTGAATACACCTAATAACACAGTCTGAAAACACATAATTGCAGCTAGACAATGATGGCTCAGGTGGTAGAGCTCTAGCTTTGAATGGAAAAAGCTAAAGGACAGCACTCACATACCCAGTTCAAGGAGAGGGTCATAGATCTGTAATCCCAGTATTAGGGGGGTAAGGTAGAAAAGTTTCTAAGACCAGCTTGTCTTAAAAATACCACAGCCTGGCTGGGCACTAGTAATTCACACCTGTAATCCTAGCTACTCAGGAGTCTGAGATCTGAGGATCATGGCTGGAAGCAAGGCCAGGCAGAAAAGTCTGTGAGACTCTTATATCCAACTAATCACAGAAAAAGCTATGACCCAAGTGGTAGAATACTAACTTTGAGCAAAGGAGCAAGAACAGCACCCAGGCCCAGGGTTCAAGCCCCAGGACTGGCCAAAAAAAAAAAAGGCAAGATACATAGGTCACTTGCCTGTTATGCCCAAGATCCTAGGTTTGATGTCTGTGCTGCAAAGTATATGTGTATGCATATATATACATACTTATATGTATATATATTTTCACATATGTATTTTCTATATCAACATATACAGTATGGAAATACAGAAATACAGGGGAAAATATACAAGTCCAAAATATACAAGCTCCAAAATTGGAGCTTTCAAAGCTCTAATTATACACTGTTCTCAGAACTGACAAAACAAGCAGACATAAATTAATCAAAAGCAGTTAAATATACCAAATACATGCATAACACAATCAGTTCTAAGCTTGACCTAATAGACGTTATATATGAATATACACACACATATTAACCCAACAAAAGTAAAACACATTCTTTTCAAGCACATATAAAACTAGAAAAAACAAACACAGCAGTGCATGCCTATAGTTCCAATTACTTGGAAAGCTAAGGAGGCTAACTTGAGCTCAGAAGTTAAAAGTTTAATAGCATGACCAACATAATGAGATTTTATCTTAAAAAAATTAAATAAAAACAAAAGAAACTAAAATATTATGTAAATATAAGATTTTTGTAAAGCAAGTAAAACAAAAATGTAAAACAAAAATCATGTTCTCCACCTTAACTCAAGACTAATCCCATCCTCCTCCAACGAATTTTTCCTATAATGCAAGTTATCTAAAACCTTTGGGTAGGAACACTAAAACCAAAGACTCAGGGAGCTCAAACTATTTTTCTTTCCTTCAATACTGAGGCTTGAACTCAAGGTTTCAATTCACACTTGCTAGGCAGGCACTGTACTACTTAAGCCACACTCTTGGCTCTTTTTGCTCTAGCTTGTCAAATAGTGTCCTCAGGTTTTACCAAAGGATAGCCTCAGACTGTGATCCTACATACGTCACCCAAGTAGCTGGG